AATAGCGATGCGTCAACGAAGCAGGTAAGGCAGGGGTGACAAGCATTTTGTAACTTTTTAAAAACGGCTTCATCCATACTAATATTATAAATGCGAAAGTGTGTTTGTTTGTTTGTTTGTTTGTCCTTCTTTCACGTCGCAACAGAGCGTCGGCATGGCATGATTTTTTGTAGTGGAGTGACATAGGTTACTTTTTTCCGCGGAAAAACATCTCATTCCCGTGGGAAAATCGAATATGTTGCTAAAGTTTGTCCTTCTTTCACGTCGCAACAGAGCGTCGGCATGGCATGAATTTTGGTACGGGGATAGTTCGGTGGCTGTAGAGTGACATAGGCTGCTTTTTTCAGCGGAAAAACATATCATTCCCGTGGGAAAATTGAATATGTTGCAAAATTAAATTCAGCTAGGTGGCGCCACCGTGATTCTACAAGACGGACGACGGTACGATGGACGAACACAGAAGGTCAGAGTATCTGGATTATTATGTCTTTTTACCAAAATTAAGATAAAAAATGTATGGATCTGTATTTTTCCACGCAGGATCGAGAAGAGAGCGATAAGAAACATAAAATTCGCCAGCTGATTTTCTTCAAACCTTTTGGTGCATTGTAATTCACAGAATAGGCGATAACCTCGCAGACGATATTAAGTAATCCGTTGATGCTCGGGGCGTTGATGCTCTGCCTACCCCGCAAGGGTTACAGGCGTGATTATAAGTATGGATCAGAAATACTATCATCACCTGTCACGCTTTCACCCTTAACTATTACTTAACTGTGGTAGAAACAGTTCTTAGTAAGCCTTATTAATAAGCTTTAGTAACATTTATTGAACGGAAATGAATACAGTTCTTATTATGTGGTTAGGAATGAATCGTTATTACAATAAGAAAAATTGTGCAAAATTATAAGAAAAACATTTTTGAGAGTTCTTATTAACTAGCGTATACATATGATTAAAACTACTTTTACGGATTTTGTCGCGTTTATTTTTATTTTTTACTTTTTATTTTTTAATTCCCGACGTTTCGGGCGCTTTCCAGCACCCATGGTCACGGGGGACTGAGATGACTGACGTCCCGATGTCATTGTTAAACCCGGAGTACCTTCAGCTTTTTTAATTATTGTTTATGGTCCGATCAATAATTAAAAAAGCTGAAGGTACTCCGGGTTTAACAACGACATCGGGACGTCAGTCATCTCAGTCCCCCCGTGACCATGGGTGCTGGAAAGCGCCCGAAACGTCGGGAATTAAAAAATAAAAAAATAAAAAAATAAAAATAAACGCGACAAAATCCGTAAAAGTAGTTTTAATCATGTGCAATGTTCGCGTAAATATAAGAAATCATTAGCGTATACATAGTTTAAATTGATTCCGCTAGATGTCGTTACTAGGTTTTTAAAGCGCGGTAACGAAATTTTTACTGACATGTACTTAACTCCCGCCGTTGAGCCGCGCGTCAAGTTATAGTACATATGGTACCTAAATTGTTTCTATTTCGTAGCTTATTCGACTACCTGCTTCCGATTTTGGTTGTTTATTATTTGCTTTGTGATTTGGTTAAGGTTGAATGGATTTATATTGGCTTTCATTTTCGGATTTGTGTATTTTCTTGGATCGGTTTTGTTGATTTGGTTAGTATTCCTTTATACATATTTAGACTCTGGCTTTGATTTTGGATTTTGTTTATTTAGAATCGTGAATTGGTTTTCGTTGTTTTAGGTTGTTTAACAATATTTCAAAGGAATATTAATAGTATGGATAGTGTATACGGTACCTATACACTTACTACTTTTTTCGTTGGTTATACTTATATTGACTACTGCTTTCGATGTCGGTTTTCTGCGATTTGTTTTGTGATTTGGTTTAAGTTGATTGGAATTTTTTTTAGTGAGGATCTTTAATTGGCTTACTGTTGTTATTAATACTATCTATCCTAATTATGACAGCTCTTGGTCTTCCAAATAAAATAAAATAAATAAAAAACTAGCATCTTTCTATTAGATAATTGATGGAATCAGGCGTTACTTTGCGGAAATCCATTATAATAAATAATTTATTACTTTGCAACCTTTCGCTAGCCATTTATAATGATGTGTCTTACCTGGATTGAAGAGCACCTCCCGCCCTCCCTCAATTGCATGCACTAACTCCGGCACCACTACTTCCAACACCACTATTCGAGGTAAGACACACCATCGACGACAATACGACACGTGTTTCGCCTCTACACGAGGCATCTTCAGATAATGTAGACTCTACGGCGACTGATCGCTAAGTGAGCGGCGAGCCGAAACAGCTGCCATTTATACACGCCGACACAACCACTCCCCACCAAAGTAGCGAATGACCGCGCCGCGCGATCACAAACCTGCAACTAATTGCTATGATTAATATTTTTTTAAATATTATTATTATTATTGTTTTTTTATATTGATATTATTATAGTTAAAGAATCTTTGAATTTTGAACACTATGTCTCTCTCAACTGCCTGGATAAATTGGCAGCGACGGTCTACCTCAATTTCTTCGTCACCCATAAAATATACTTGTAAAAATTTATGCTGTTCGTTTTCAGCTGGAAAAAGTGAACCTGCTATGATAAATTTGCCCTTGCACCGTAAATGTAGGTGAAAATCCCGGCATTATTATTTCCCGGTCAACTCCGTAGGACTTCATTTGAAAGCATGAGTTATATTTCCGGATCCTGTTTAAAAAGCGCCGTGACTAATTAGCATCATATAAAAAGAGAGTTTTCAAAGGTTCTTCTGGTTCCCCAAGTAACGGAAGAGACACTTTGCCATTGGAACAGCACATACCTGCGGTCTCATCTTTCCATTTTAAAGCGCTGCAAAATCGACACGCATTATCCATCAGTCCGATAACAACTAACCTGTGATTTCTATAATCAATCAACGGATCATAATTGAATTCTGCGTCATTAAAAACCGACCAATTGTTTCTTTGAAAATTTTGTCGACGTTCAGCTTGGAGCTATGCATTTGCATCTATTGGCGCCTATGTCTGTTCTGGTGTTTCAGATGCCCTTATAGTAGATTGACGTTCAGCTTGCTCAATGAGTCTGTGTTGAGTTTCATCAGGTGTTTCCGCGGCTCTTAAGGCGGCCTGACGTTCCGCTTGTCCGAATAGCCTTTGCTGACTTTGAGCAGGTGTTTCAGTAGCTCTTAAAGTAGATTGACGCTCTGCCTGTTTAAGACGCCTTTGCTGACTTTGATCAGGTGTTTCAGAAGCTCTTAAAATAGCTTGACGCTCTGCCTGTTCAAGACGCCTTTGCTGACTTTGAGCAGGTGTTTCAGTAGCTCTTAAAGTACTTGACGCTCTGCCTGTTCAAGACGCCTTCGCTGACTTTGAGAAGGTGTTTCAGAAGCTCTTAAAATAGCTTGACGCTCTGCCTGTTCAAAACGCCTTTCCTCACTTTGAGAAGGTGTTTCGGAAGCTCTTAAAGCAGCCTGACGCTCTGTCTGTTCAAGACTCCTTTGCTGACGTTGAGAATGTGTCTCAGATGCTCTAAAAGCAGCCTGACGCTATGCTTGTTCTTGCCTTCTCAGTTCAGCATTTTCTAAAGATTCTAGCGATCGAGCTAGTCTTTTCGCTTGTCTTTGAGAAGATACTCTTGAAAGGCTGGGCTTACGTTTGCGAGGCATTATGAAGTAACAATAAAACCTATTTATAAAAAAAAAACGTTAAAATACCTAAAAGGAATTAAATTTCCTTTTCAATATTTTTAAAGCAAATCCAAAATATCTAAAAGGAATAAATATTCATTTGAATTATTTTTTTAAAATCAAAACAACAAAACCAATTCAAGACGCAACACGAATCCGAAAACGATAGCCAAAAAAATCGCATCAACTTAAACCAAATCACAAAACAAATCGCAGAAAACCGAAATCGAAAGCAGTAGTCAATATAAATATAACCTACGAAAAAAGAAGTAAGTGTAAAGGTACCGTATACACTATCTATACTAAATGTATTGAGAGGTCAAATTTAATATATTAATTTCCTTAAATTTTATTACTCTAATGGAAATCAGGAATCAGTAAATATAACTGACTTAGGAATTTTATGGGAAAGAATAAAGGATATAGCCTCATAAATGGCGACAGCTTCCCCAGTAAAAACAGAAGCCTGAGAATTAACAATTTTAAGTACAGTAGTAAAGCCGAATTTACATTACGAAACTAGTGTTATGCATGTTGGAATGAGTTTCATGAAAATAGTTGCACCACGTGTGAAACTACTTTCACAAAAAATAATAGTGTGAAATCAACAGTATCACCAACGAAATGGCTCTGTCAACATCAAAGCTTCATTTTGCAATGCAAAAGGTCGTAGTACAGATGTTAATATATAAAATTAAAAAAAGGTTATCTCGAAAGAAAAGGGGTCGGATGGGTAGGAGACATTTGGGTGCAACACATTTAATTTCTGAATTAGCAGATGAAGATCCCGAGAGCTATACAAACTACTTTCGAATAAGTGAAGATTTTTTAATTTTTTATTAAGTAAAGTGTCATAAAAAATATCTAAACAGGATACAACATGTCGACAAGTACTGACAGCAAAGTTGAAACATCAAATTACTTTACGATTTCTTGCGACAGGAAATATTTTGACTTCATTATCATACGAATTTACAGTGCCTCGTGAAAAATTAAAACACTACATTCAGGTAAGGAAATAATTTTTATTTGGTGTAATTAACAATCTAGGCATTATGATATGCATATTAATAATTATCAAAATTTAATTCTCTATCCAAATGATAACCTGATATCCTAGCAACAGCTTGCGAAAGTATTGTATGTGCAATACTCGTCTTCTGCATCATTATTCGTAGCAGCACTAGTAGCATCAATTGACTCCGATTCTGATGAGGATTGTGCGACTTGCTGATTCTCTGGTATAGTAATGGTAATAGTTCTGTTAGACTCCATACACTCTGACATTGATGATGATGTACCTCTTTGTGATAACTATGTCTGTTTTAATAGCTTTACACGTTGCTGTCTTATAGTAGCCAATATTACTTCTTCGGTCTCTAGGGCAGCTTTTGATGGAAGCTGCCGTAACTGCTGAGCTATAGTGCTTCCGAAAAGCTCAAATTCATCATCACCTGAGTTATTTGAAAACTGCTGCGTTGAAACTTTTTCTAATGCGTCAACTGCTCTAAGGACCGAATCTTTTAATTTCCTTTTATTTCTTGAAGTTGTACGTGGTACAGTGAACTTTTCATCGTTGGATTCAGAAACTGAAGCTTCTTGAGTGTTGGGTGCAATGTTTGGTGTCTGAAACAATATATTGACCTACTCATTTTCTTTTACAGGTACCAGACAATGAAGAAAGTTGGAGAGATATAATTGATGGATTTCATGAAAAATGTAATTTGCCACTGTGTTGTGGCGCTATAGATGGCAAACATATTCAAATACGTTGTCTCATGCACTCGGGAAGTGATTATTATATTTGCAAGGAAACACTCAGTATTGTCCTCCTAGCAGTTCGTGACAGTGATTTAAAGTTTAGGTATATTAATGTGGGTTACTATGGCCGAGCTTCCGATGAAGGAAAATTTTAAAAAACCTTGGAGGAAAAGACTTTGAACTGTCCTGAAGGAATAGTTTTTTCGGGAGACCAAGCATTCCATTTGACTAAATATCTTATGAGACCTTATAGTCGTCGAACATGTTTATCAAAACAACAAAAAAAATTCAACTACCGATTATGCAGAGCTCGGAGAACTATAGAAAACACTTTTGGTGTATTAGTTAGTAAATTTCGGATATTTGAAAAACCTATATAGTAGTATACCTATATAACAGTAACTTACCAAATTCTCTGTATTTTCTCTGGTGTAACTATCAATGTTTTTCAGAAAATGCATATGAGGCAACGAAACAAAAAAAAGGTATTTTAGACACGTTATAGTTCCATGTTTTTTTGCTTTCAATAATTCGTTGTTCTTCTAGTCTTTCACAGTGTCCATTTCCATGATTTCCATAATTACTTTGTAGGCTGCCTCTCTAGCATCTCTATTATTATATTGAGGGTGTTTTGGATCCCAAAGACACTCGTTACGTTGTATTCGTTAATTAATTTTATATTTTTATCGACTGACCAACGTTGGTTTGCCATTATGGCGCGTATTTAGCTGCACGATGCACTCAAACACACACGTCTGCCCTGTGCAGATGCATGGCAGATGCTTTCGCGACACTAGTTTCGTGTCGCGTTCTCATCATGAAAGTAGTTGCGTGACATTAGTTTTACTAAAAATATGCGCATGGCACGAAATTAATCCAGTGTCGCGAAACCGATGCATGCGTTATGAAACTGTAAATTTATATGTGAAATTGTTGATAAAATTAATATCATAAAACTGATTTCGAGCTACTAGTTTCGTAATGTAAATTCGGCTTAACAGTATTAAGACAATTTTATATTTTGAATCCAGACTGCAGCACCGACACAATAGACAAAGACAATTTGGAAGCATCAGTAAAAATATATAGCCAATCAGGCCAACTATTTGCTACAAGGCTGTAGAAAGTTCTGTTTACAGTTGGGGAATTTTCATTGATGTTTAAATTGCTGGTGGGGCCGCGGATGTGTGCGAAAGCGTTCCCGTAGCCCTGCCAATATGCGACGAAGGTGAAACACCATGAGGTTTTAGTCGGTGCGAGTCCGACATAACCCGTCCTTGCCCCCGCGAGGCGGGTATGCGTAGGCATTTCCCCATGTTCAAAAAAAAAAAGGTGTATTAGGTGACATGGATTCACAAAATTTTTTTCATCCACTTTTTTTTCTTTTTGGATAGAAGTCTCTTTGTTTGAGCAGAGGTTTTTTTGAAATTGTATAAAATTATTGATTTTCATACAATTTCTGCAGCTTTTCTTCTTTTAATCATAGCGGTGTATTCAGCATCCCACCATGGAGGGGAAGATAGGGTCTTAACCAATAAAAAGTAAGAATTTAGTGGATTGGTTGAAGAGTAAACCAGCATTTGGGCAAATTCAGTATCTTAAAAAATTGTAAAGTTCGCCCATCATCATCTTGGAGCTTATATTTTAAGGAAGGTAGTAGTAAAAGGTAAACAATTAACAGCAGGTTTGGTAATAAGGATGGGAAAATTATCACTTCCGCATGTTGGACTGAGAGTTTTCCAAGAAAGGTGAGGGACTAGGCTAGAAGAACATGCTGTTAGATCAACAGCAGACCTAGGGTCTAGTCCTGGATATACTCTGTGAGTGGGTGTACCATTGTTGATGATGCGAGCATTAATGTCTTCAAAAATTTGTATAAGTTCTGAGGAGAATAGGTCACAAAAATGTGACCCACAAGAAACGTGATGGGAATTAAGTCACCGGTAATAATAAAAGATAGAGGTAACAAAGAAAAAAGAGGGGATAGTTCTTGAATTAAATGGGTATTTGGATATGGGATACATACTCAAATAATATCGATTCCTGCTATTATAATGTTATTTATTCTGTACGTTCTTTACATCTGGACCTTGCACATCTCAGTCCCCGCCGTGACCATGGGTGCTATAAAGCGCTCGAAACGTCGGGTATTTAAAAATTTAAATATACGCGATAAAATCCGTAAAAACTAGTATTATTTAAAAGAAGATGGACAATCTGCAACTATTCTTTGGTGGGCCTGTTAGTCATACCCCAAGGAAATTCTAGGTATGGAACGAGGAGATTGGTTTTTCTATACGCCTGCGATCTGTTGGGGAGGTTAAAGGAGTTAGCAGAGTTAGATGAAGGCTGGGGAGAGGCCGCTTCCAACTAAGACTTTTGAAGATAGTTCAAACGGACAGATGGGATTTTGGCTGAAGCTTCTATATAAGATTTATTTTGTTCTGATATCATAACTTGATGATATCTGTCGATGGTGTCAATTTTCGTTATTAGCAAAATTGTTTTTGGAGCGTAACAGACATGTGGCTTCACTTTCAGGAACAGAACAGCTTGCTGAGTGTGTACAATGTATCAATCAATTTTTCTTTTGCAAGCATTTGGTTATTAAGGACTTTGTTAGCATCATCTGCTGATCAGAGTTCAATAGAGATGCGATTTCTGCCGACACTTTTGACATCCCCCTTTTTAATGTTTTGCGTATTATTTTGTGACAAACATAAACCTATTTTAATCGGTCGAAGTGATAGCCCTATTCTAGGATTTGAATTGGTACGGAAGATGCTTTTTTATAGAATAAGGGTCACAAATGAGCACACAGTCCACCTGATGGTAAATGGGTGCTGTGGCACATAGACATCTATATTTATCCTCGATTAAGAATCAAAACGCAGATGCATTGTTGCCCCTGAAGACTAAGATGGAATGCCCCGTTTCCGGTAAGTGTGAACAATAAATAGGCCTTGATCATTTGGCCCACACATTCTAAAATTTTATTCTAGGCAGAGATGTTTTCGTATATGCTATTTATTGAAGCTGTTAAATCAACTATAGAATTTTTTATATAATATTGGATCAAATGCGCCAATTTCAGCACACCTTTTCTTACCACATTCGCAATCTTTATTGTCACTTAATTCGAGGTACACCATGTCTTCATCAGGAAGGTCAGGGGGTTTCTCACGGGGAGACATCATTTCGTCATCCACAATTGGGTATAATAGTAGATCTAACTACGTATTATAAACATTGTCTACTTACAACAGGGAAAATCCACCACCATAAAGTTAAGGAAATCAAGGAAAAGTAATCTAATACCGGAAAGCACTCACAAGTACTTACTTTTAGTACCTAGGCTGCACTAAAAGTATCGGGAATGGAATATTTCCACTGTTCCTATCATATTAAAATCTTTTTCATTGAAAACTCCTTAGTTTTAAAAATCGAATACCATTTATTTATTTAAAAAAAAAGATTCTCCGTCTTGTCACAAGGTTTTGTCAAACTTGTTTAGTCGTTGAGAAAATGGAATTGACTCGAGAAAATTCAAGAGAGATGATTTATTATGACTTTCGAAGTGGTTTGGTTTGGTGAGAATCCTGGATATATGCGTATGAACCCGAAACAAAAAACCAGTCACAAGTTTAGGTGTTCGAAAATTAGTTAAAGCCAACAAAAATTGTTCGTTCACGGAGTGTGGTAAAAAAATGGTGGCCACGTTTGTCTCCAAAACCGGCCATGTTACGACTATTCCTCTTAAGGGACAAAGAACGGTTAATGCAGAATGAGGGTTGGATTTAGAATCGTTTGGCAGGAATTCGGGGGAGTAAGGTGTTTTATTTGGTAGAGATTTGGTCCCCGATTATAATAACACCACTCACATTAAAAGGTAATTCACCGTTATCGAAAAAATAAATAAAAACTATTATAACCTAAAATACGTAAAGTATGGAAAATGATTCATTTTTATTATTAACTGACTTTACGTACGGCTCTGGGTTCTAGCCCTTCTAAGAAAAAATTATATGATATTACTGTGAAAGCTGGATAGCATACAAAAATTTTGTGTCTGTGGCGGGAGCAAAGGCAACCTGACTATAGATATCTGATCTGATCGAATCTATGCCAAAATTAAATCAGCACGCCCCGAATCCACGTAGTCTTGTCTGCGCTACTCCTATAGTGTTTTTGTAAAGCCGTAGGTGCGGAGGGAGAGCAGCTCCCGCCCGTCGCGTCGTAGCAAATCACAGGCACCTGTGCGAGCCGTAGTGTGGTTATTATTGTAATATATATTATAAGTAATTATAAAAGCTAATATCTTGGCGTTTTGTTGAGTGCAAGAGCGAGCGAAGTGAGCGGGACTTAGGGCACCCCGACTCGGATAGGTTAGGTTAGAAGGGGATGGCGGGGTCGAGTGAGCGAGCGAAGCGAGCGAATAGACCCCGCCATTCCCTTCGTGGTTATTTTTTTGTAAACCACTCAGAAGTAGGAGCCCTGCGAAGCGAGACTCCGTCTACCGGCCTTCCCTCAGCTGCGCTACGTAGTGCTTCCCTCCTCCAACTCTCTCCCCCCATAAATCAGGTTTATAGTCAAAAACATTACAAAAACATAACCTCAAAATCAGATTTTTAAAAATGTATTAAAAAAAATATTTTGATGGATGTGCAAGCGGGATTTAGAAAGGGAATGGGATGTACAGATCAAGTCTTTTCCATGCGCATGATCGCGGAGAAGTTTTTGGCCAAAAACCAAAAGGTTTTTTGTGCGTTCATGGACTTGGAAAGGGCCTATGACAGAGTGGATAGGGATGTGCTATGGCAAATACTGAACTCATTTGGGTTGAGCGCTGGCTTAATACAGGCATTGGAGTCTCTTTATAGGGACTCTAGTGTTTGTATTAGGATCAACGGGGTCTACTCGGACTGGTTTGACATCCATAAAGGTGTCAGACAAGGCTGTGTGGCTTCCCCGTGGCTGTTCAACCTATTTATGGAGTTGTTTCCAAAATTTGAAAGTTGAAGAATGCGGATTAAGAATGGGTGAGTTAACCGTCAAATGCCTTTTGTACGCCGATGATCAAGTTATTCTTGCGTCGTCGGCGGCCGAGTTGCAAATGATGGTTACATTAATGAACAGATCTTTAAAAGAAAGGGGTATGAAAGTAAACGCAAGTAAGACGAAGGTTATGGTTTTTGAAAGAGAAGAAAGTAAAACGATTTGTGAAATAAGAATAGTAGGGGAGTTGATCGAGCAAGTAGATGAGTTTGTATATTTGGGCTGCGTATTTAGCAGGGATGGGAGATACGATAAGGATATAAATAGAACGACAAGTGAATGCGGGAAATAGAGTAAATGGGGCCCTGCACTCTATTGTGAAGAGTCAAAATGTGTCGAAAAAGGCACGTATGGCAATTCACAATGCTGTGTTGGTCCCTACTTTAACGTATGGTAGTGAAAGTTGGGTGTGGCAGAAGAAGCACGAGAGTAGAATGAACGCAGTAGAAATGCGGTCGTTAAGGAGTATGTTAGGGCTGAGTGAGAAGAGTGTGGTTTGCAAGATGATGTTGTGCCAGGATTAAGTTGGTGGATCAGGTTAAGTGTGGTTTGGTAACATGTGGCAAGAAGAATGAGGAAAGAGTGACAGAAAATTTATGTTGCAGAAGTGAATGGCAGAGTTGGAAAGGGACGTCCTAGGTGAAAATTTATCGACCATAATTGGCGATTTATTGTAAACGGGCCAAATTAGGAGTACCCTTAACCGACGAGCATGTATGCGTAGGTGTATGGATGTGAAGAAGGCGAGAGATGTGTGTCAGGATCATGCAAAATGGAAGTCTGTAAACTCTGCCTACCCCTCTGGGTGACAGGCGTGAGTGTTTATGTATGTATGTATGTTATTAAAAAAAACTAAGCATGTCCGGCAGGATGTGGAAGTGGTTGGCGACTCTACAACTCCACCGCCTCCCTCTCCACCACCTTCCACCCCCTTAATTCATTTTGAGTTATGATTTTGAGGTTAGTTCTATTGGATTTTCTTTTTGATTTTTCTCAAGAACGGTGCATTACCTTTTAAAATGGGAGTGGTATTATTATAATTGGGGACCAAACCTCTACTAAATAAAATACTTTACTCCCCCAAATTCCTTCCAAACGATTCTAAATTTCAACGCAGAATGGTATGCTAGCATTTGTTTGCCACAGGTCGTTTCTGAACTCCGTAAAGAGAATTGCAACCGCCGCATCATCCTCCATCACGACAATGAGAGTTCTCATACCGCACACAAAACAAAAGAGTTTTTAGAGCAAGAAAACATAGAATTATTAGACCATCCGCCGTACAGCCCCGACCTAAACCCTAATTATTTCTATACTTTCCCTAAAATAAAGAATAAATTGCGTGGACAGAAATTTTCATCACCTGAAGAAGCTGTGGACGCCTACAAAACGGCCATTTTGAAGACCCCAACTTCCAATGGAATGGTTGCTTCAATGATTGGTTCCATCGTATGGAAAAATGTGTCAAATTTCGCGGAGAATACTTCGAAAAGCAATAAATACATTTTTAAATAGTAATGTTGTGTCACTTCCTTGATCCCCGAAATTTTCAGTGCCGCCCTCGTAAAGAAGTTACCTTTGACCAACCGACGGGAATGGACAGTTATAAAAACTGGCAAGTGGCAACCCGTTTTTATAAATGTCATTAACGTTGAACGTCAAACGTCTAACTCGAATAGCTATTGATTCGGTTTTCGGTTTGTTGCCTTAAATGTGTTGTTTTATTTATAACCGTGTGCTCTAATTTACAACATTATAAGGCATGCAGTAAATATTGTTATCGATAGAAACAATTATAACATTGCATAACCATTTGCCTTAGATTCCAGTACTGGGGTAATTATACGGTACAATGCATAAAATTGATTTAGCGATTGCAAAAACAAATATACCCAATTAACAAGATCTTTTTTCTTTTACGCGTAATTTTCTTCAAAATCCTTACTACATATTATGTTTGACTTGTTAAATAGTGCAAATAACCTACTTTTTTACTATTTCAAGTGTTAAACGAAAAACTGTAACATGTCGATGCCACATAGCAGCTCTAGTACAACAAGCTCCAGTACAAAACGCAAAGAAATATACAAGTAAGCTCCATAATGTGGTTTTAATTTCAAGTACAATAAGAAAGTAAGCTACACACATTTGAATTATAAATAAATATTTTAGAGTGCTAGTTTTAACTGACAATTTTTAATTTTTGAATGCAAATTCATTTTTAGTTTAAATAAATGTAGGTAATTCTTTATTAATCTGCTGCACGAATTATTGGTCGCCGAGTGGGCGGGTAGATGGGGGGGAGGGGTAGGAACCTCCCCCTAAAAGAATTAAGTGCCGGAAACCCGCCCCCCCCCCCCATTTTTTATGAATTTTTTAAGTAATCTGCTGCATGAATGTATGGTCACCGAGTGGGGGGAGGCTGGAATAGGAACCTCGCCCTAAAAGGGGAAAGTGCCGGAAACCCCCCTTTTTTTGTAAAATCATAACCTCATTTTTTATACAGGAATATTGACGCAGTTACTTCTGCAACGGCTTCGGCACTGCAGGAAGTGCAGCCCCTTTGCCCTTGCGTAGCCCTTGCGTATCAAAAAAAGCTAAATATTTTTACAGATTTGTGTATAACAGAATATTAATATGTTAATTTGTTTTTTTAATATGGATACACCTGTAAAAAAATTGAATCACTTGGACCCCGACAGTCCATTTGTGGCTGAAGACCTCCTAATAGTGCAGTCTCATATACAATAAATTGAATTGTACAGTAAAGAGGTTTTTCAGAAAATAAATGAGCAGCTCCTACCCCCGTAGCATTTTGCAGGCACCCACATGAGCCATAGCAGATGAGGCTGGTCGCCAAACGCGACCAATAACCAAAGCTGCAGAGGTGAAAAAGGTTGCCTGTGATTAGCTATGCAAGGGCGAAGGAGTTACACTTCCCATAGCACCGAAGCTGTCGCAGAAGCAACTTTAGGTCAATATTCCAGTGTAAAAAGTAAGGTTATGATTTAACAAAAAAAATCATTACTCATAAATTCCGCAAGGGAGGAAGGGTAGGGTGGGGTCTTCTCCTGCACCCACCCCCACACAAGTATCAGATGTCTATAGGTTTACCAAAGAAGCAATGCATGCTGGACAAGCTATGTTTGAAATAAAAATTGGTGAAACGTTACTTTTTCTTTGTCCTTAGATACCAAGCACCATGGCCATTGTACTCTATGAATTGGTCTGTGCGGCCAGACAAGAGATTCAGGTTAGCCCTGGGTAGTTTTGTTGAAGAATATAATAATAAGGTATTATCAATTCTATTAAGGATCATTTGCTACATTATCTTACAAAATTAAAATTTTTAGTACATAATATAATATACTTTTCTTTTTCATGTTAAATGCACAGCATTGTATATTGACTATTTGCAATTTATAAATCCACAGAATTAATGAAATATTCTTTTAAATGGTTTGTTAAAACCAGCACTAAGTTGAACTTTACTTGAAACATATGACCATGTGTTTAATGTCCATGCAGGTACAAATTATATCTTTAGATGAAGAAACAAGTGAGTTCAGTGCTAAAAGCACTTTTGACCACCCATACCCCACCACCAAGATTATGTGGATACCTGATAGCAAGGGAGTGTATCCAGATTTACTAGCCACAAGTGGTGAGTAAACATTTTAATTTTTACAGTTCATCATCAGGAAACACTAAAAACTACTCACCTATTACAAAAATTAAAGGAAATAATTGAAATTTATTTAAGTTTTCACAAATTATGACTAAATGTACTCAACAGTAATAGCAAATTAATTTAACATTATGTCAGTAAAAATTTACATCCATTTACTAAATCTTATAAAAATCTTAGAAAACCCTTTGCTTTATAGTAAACAATTAAAACATTCCTTATTATTATACTTTTAATGAATTTTGTGACAATAAATAATGACAAAGAAAGAATACTTCGACAACATGGTATTTCCAAATTTAGCAAATTAATATAAATTAATATTGAATGTTTATTTTATGATATTTTATATTTTCTGTTCAAAAGCTTGATAATTCAAGAATAGTTAGCCCTCTAGTGTAGCTATGCCACATGTAGCCATGACAGCCATGATGCTACCTAGTAATAATGTAGCATCTTAAATATGACTCAGATGCTAGACGATTTTTGTAATAATATTTAAACATGTTTGACGGCTCCATGGCGTAGTGCCTCGGGTTCAAATCCCGCATGGAACAAGTTGTTATACGGCCTACAAATAATTGTCTGGGTCTGGATGTTTGTCCTGTGCAAATTATAACGAAATAGGTAAACTGCCTCTACAATACAGGAGAAAATCCTAGTGTGGAAAATTATGTATGTAAACTGCCTACATTGAAAACTTGAAAATCTTTATATAGATTTTCAAAGACCCGTGATAGCTCAGGGGTTAACCCTCTCAGAAATTAGAGGATGCAGGTGCCTGGCTGTGGAGCATCTATGGCTTGATATAATTTTTTTGTTTATTAATTAAAAGTGTTCATACATATTTTATAATAGATTTGTAACATTAAACTAATAATCTTTTGTATTGGTACTCACATTTGCAACTAATGCACTTCTTATCATTAAATAATTAGTAAATTCAATAGTAATGAAAGCTATACATTTTAAAGTACCTCTTTTATTGTGTAAGTGGTAAGCACCTATTTGCAATCCTCATATGGGACATTCTGGAATTGAGTATCACTGACAGGAGCGCTCATTACTTTTGTCAAGGAACTGGTTCTACTAAGCAGTGCAAACTACATAATATTATACAGGCTGTTCTACTAACATACTTAATAATAAGTATGAATTATGATTAATTTTATAAGACCAATTGCTATATATGTTTTTTATTTTAGGTTACGGTTAGGCACGTTGGTGAGCCATCAACCAGAAGCCGGTACAAAGGGACATCTATAAACTGTAATTACTTGACTTTAAATTTTTAGGTGATTATTTACGCATATGGCGCGCTGGTGAGCCGTACACCCTTTTTGAATGTGTGCTTAACAACAACAAGAACTCTGACTTCTGTGCACCACTCACATCCTTCGACTGGAATGAAGTAGATCCCAATCTGATTGGCACAAGCAGTATTGACACTACATGCACAATATGGGGGCTTGAGACAGGTCAAGTGCTGGGCAGAGTCAACGATGTATCTGGACATGTAAAAACACAGTTGATTGCTCATGACAAGGTAAAATTATTGTTTCATCATCATGTTTCTATAACAATTGTAATGGCCCAATAGAAAATCAAGTTTGATGAATCAATTTGATTCATCATCATCAATTTTTGACTGCTTATGTATGCAAATGCAGTTGCTAATCTTGGGGTCCTGGGTCGGACAAAATCAATAATAAGTTATTGAGTTTATCCTATAAGAAATTCTCAGTAGCAGCTCGGAGTCATTGCCTCAACTCTCTCCGGTCGTGAGAATAAGATAACGGAAAGTATAATCTTGTCCTGCACAGATGGCTAGTCTCCGTTAAGACCTGGCCGCCGTGACCGAAATTCGGTCTGGACTAACATTATTATTATTGACTAATTTCCTAGGAAGATGTGTGATAGTGTGTGGAAGGGGTCAGGATTGGGTTAAAACTATTTGTTGTGTGCACAGGAGGTGTATGACATTGCATTCAGTCGGGCTGGAGGGGGACGGGACATGTTCGCGTCTGTAGGCGCTGACGGATCTGTGCGAATGTTCGATCTACGGCATCTCGAGCACTCCACCATCATATATGAGGTGGGTACTACGTCTTTGACTGTCCTTTACTTGGATGTACGCTGTACTCTACATATACTACTCTCCATATTGTATGTGGTAGAATCATGCTGCAAATATATTATGTTTGTAGCACGAATGGGTGAACCCAAACTGGAAGGACCATGCTGTTACAATGTTTTATATGATGAGGGTAGAGAACCAGAAATCTTTTTACTGGGAATGAGACATTCGATCTTTGTCTTCAGAGGTGACAATGCATCTTCAATTTGATTCTATTGATATCTAATTGAATCAACATTAATGTAGATGTCTATGGGTACCATCAGGTGGACTATGTGCTTGTTTGTCACCCTTATTCTATTAAAAAAAAGTGTATTCAATGTTTACATGGAGCATGTGCACTTGTCCAGGATCCGCAGCACACGCCGCTGCTGCGGTTGGCGTGGAACAAGCAGGACCCCAACTACCTGGCCACGGTGGCAATGGACGCGTGCGAGGTGGTGATCCTGGACGTGAGGGTTCCCTGCACACCCGTGGCTCGCCTCAACAACCACCGTGCCTGCGTCAACGGCATCGCCTGGGCGCCCCACAGGTACCACACCATCACCACCCCATCAACATTGCCCTCCACACCGAATTTCGGTCACGACGGCCAGAGTTTAACTCAATTTTTTATTTCCTTTTTTTTTAACGTTACCCCCGCACTAGGATTTTCTGTATCGTGGAGGCAGTTTACAAACATAAATTGCACAAGGACAAACATCCAGACCCAGAACAATTATTTGTAGGCCATACAAATACTTGTTTCGTGCGGGACTCGAACACACGGCCCCCAGCGCGGCCACTCATTGCTAAGCCACTGCGCCACAGAGCCTTAAAATAATTAATACTTGTAAACAGCGCCAGAGTTTATACCACCAACATCAATGGAATCATAGTTATTGAGTGTTACACAACAAGAAGAAAGTTGACTGTGTTTCACCCCCGTGCCTCGAAAAGCAGGTAAAGCCGTTGATCCTGCGCCTGATCTCTCTGGTAGTTGCGACATGCCGTCCCAATGGGCTATGAGAGTTAGGGGAATAAAGAGTGCCCCTGTGCTTGTGTATACACTCTAGCACTATACACTCTGTCCTGCGTAAATGGCTTATCTGCTTTGAAACTGATCACAGTGACGGAAATTCGGTCTAAGAGACATTATTATCATTAAGGCAATGAAAATTACTTATAAAGATACAGTGATTCTATGAAGTTGCTTACACATTTGTCAATTCTTATATCTACAATAATATTAATATTTAAATTATAGTAATTTTTGTTATGCTCCGAGTGCTATGTGCTCGGCTTAAGGGCTATCCTCGGAGTTTCTCTGCGTGATAGACTCAGAAATGAGGACATCCGCAGTAAAACCAGAGTGACCGACATAACCCAACGGATTAATAAGCTGAAATGGCAATAGGCCGGCCATATAGCTTGAAGAACCGATAACCGATGGAGAAGAAAGGTTCTCGAGTGGCAGCCTCGTACCGGTAGGCGTAGTGTAGGGTGACCCCCCACTAGATGAAGTGACGATCTGGTAAGATATGCAGGAAGTCGATGGATGCAGGTGGCTCAGGACCGTGCTTTGTGGCATTACTTGGGGGAGGCCTATGTTCAGCAGTGGACTTGTGAAGGGCTGTAATGATGATGATGATGAATTTTTGTTATAATATAGTTATACAGTGCAACCTTGATATAACAAAAATGAAGGGAATTAGAAAATAATCATTACATCAAGTAATTCGTTATAATGAGGTTTGTTATACAGAGGTTAGATCGGACATTTAATAAGGTAAGAATACTTGTTTACCTTTACCTACATGACATGTTTTATTACATACATGACGTGTTTTATTGTGGAATTTAGTGCGAATAATTAATAGGTAATGTTATGAAGAGGGCCATTAGAGCAATATATAATTTAAAACCAAAAGAGTCACTGAGACAAAAATTTAAGGAAATCAATATATTAACTCTGACTTCTCAATACATTTATGAAAATGTAATGTACGTACACAAAAATAAAAGTAGTTTTGCGAAAATAAGTGATATTCATTCTGTAAATATTAGGAGCAGACACAAGCTAGTAGTACCAGTTACTCGACTCCACCGAGTCAGTAAATCATTCTTGGGGCGATGTATACGCTTTTACAACAAAATCCCAGAAAATATACAAAATTTGTCATACACAAAGTTATTAAACTAAGTTTGTATAAAAAGGGTTATTATAATATTAAGGAATTTATGGATGATAATAACCCCTGGGAAGGGTGATCGCTACCAAGCTATTTCTAATTTGTCTTGTGTTGTTAATTGTAAACATGATTGTAAGCTATTATTGGAAAAAAAATAGTCCCGCTGGGTTTCTTGCTGGTTCTTCCCAGGACAGAGGTTTTTTTGCGAACCAGTGGTAAATTAAAAAAGTGGCTTTCAATAAGTATTGTTATAATCTGCATTGAATAAAAAAGTTTCTGTTTATGTCAAAGTTCTAAGTTGAAAAAATTCGTTAAATGGAGGTAAATAATGCTTTCTAACTATATTCAGCCATTATTAAAACCGATGTAAAGAGGTTTTGAATAAATCTATTTGTAATGTAGGGGTATATTTTGCATTAGCTCTTACGGACAGTTCTAGGGGACTTCGAAAAATTCGTTAAACCGAGGAATTCGTTATATTGAGGCTCATTATATCAAGGTCGCACTGTATATTGTTTTTAGTTCATCACAGCCAACAGCAGTAGATGTTATTGTCTATCGACCACAGTATCCGCTTATCAGGTGGACTGTGTGCTTGTTTGTCACCACTATTCTATATAAAAAGCTTACTTTTATCGAATTATTCTTCCATTCCAGCTCTTGTCACATATGCACAGCGGGAGATGACCACCAGGCATTAATCTGGGACATCCAACAAATGCCTCGCGCCATTGAGGACCCAATTCTTGCCTACACAGCTGCTGAGGGTGAAGTCAACCAGATCCAATGGGGTGCGACACAACCCGACTGGATCGCTATCTGCTACAATCGCCACACCGAGATACTGCGGGTTTAAATTCGAATTTAGTGAATAATAGGCCTTCTGCCTAGGACTCCATTTGGATATGTACCACGCTCTTACTCTTTTCGTAGTGAAGCAGCAGTGCATCAGTTTGTTTCAGTTGGGTGGACAAAAAAACAGCATTAATTGGTATATTACACTAGATAAGGACATCCACGACATTTTCTGCCACCAGGGCGGCGTCACTTGAAAATGAGGTGAAAAATATTTGACTAATTTCATGGTAGTGGAAGTAAATTTCTTAGAAAAGTGTAAACATCAATGTTTTAACTGAAATATTAGTTATATTTTAAATCCCCAAAAGTAGAATGAAAAAAAGAGAAGTTAAAAATGTGTTAAAAAATTTAAAGAGCTCCGTACCGAGGCATTGTTTTGTGCATATACGTACACTAGAAACCAAAAAACTTTTAAATCGCAACTATTCGATGATGCGTAACAAATAAGTTCACATTAGTTCCAACTGGCGACATCTGGTGAGCGATGCCTCGATACGCCTTTTTGTCGACACGATACCGATACACTTATTGAATTCAAAAATGAAGGTAAAATAAATAAAACACAAGTCAGATTATTTTTTTATTAATATAAAAATAATAAATAACAGGACATAAAACCGTTTGAAACTATAGACAGTTTCGTTTGCAATGAAATATACGAGACAACACGCGCGTTTACTTTACAACTTTGAAGCGCGAAATTTGAAAAGTATCGTTGAATCGGCCATAAAAATATCGCCAATGCCGATATATCGGCAATCTTCGAGTATCGCCGATATATCGGTATCGGAGGCATCCTTTGTAATTAGCCCTCATTAATATTGTCATATAAACAGTTTGAAATCATAATTTACATGCCTTACTATGCTACATACATATGTACATAGCATACAAATTAATATACAGGGTTATTTTGCAATAACCAGTCAAGTTTACAGAGAAGGTTCAGAATAAATATGTAATATAGGCAAATGGTAAAGAAAAATTAATAAAAACAATCCAAACATTTGATGCATAAGTTTTACGGAGACACACACATTCGTAAGGGTCGATCGGTAGGCATAAACGTTGTTGTCCATAATTTAGATTCAATTTGGGATAATTTCAAATAAAAGTGAAGCTTTATTTATTCGTATTTTCAAAGCTGCAATAATGGTATGTCATTATTTATATATTTGAACTTAAGTTTAAAATTTGGCTACTTTTAGAAAATAGCCCTGTAATACAGGATTATTTTTTTCAAACAGTATAACAATTACATATATATATATATATATATATATATATATATATATATAAAAATTAACGATTTTAATTACCAAAACACGACAGAACTAGATCAATCCTAACAAGCTATGTTAGTACTTTACTAATGGTAGTGTCAAGTACCTAATTACAGGCTGTAGAATGTTTCATTTCAGTCCTAAAAAGTTATATTACACATGTAGCCTTCTTTGTAGTGGGTAGCCACATAGTATCACATGTATTGTTAGCTCGAACATTTTAAGGCATTTATGTTATGCAAGGCTTCCAAAGACCAGTAGGCTGTGATGGTACTTGTAGTTTTGTGTCAATATTTCACACCTGGCATATGAGTTGGTTTATCTATTACCATGTAGTGGCAGTGTAAGAATATCCCCTACCCCATACCTTCCTGTAGGTGTTGTTAAAGGTGGCAGAGGGAGACTGAAACAGGAGGTAGGGAGCGGCAACTTCCGAATAACAAATTAAAATTATAAAAACCTGCAGTTGCCAAGCGTGGCACCCGTGACAAAATGACCCCCCCACCTCCCCTCCTATGAGACAATCTATGGGAGAGGCCTACGTTTGGCAGGTGACTTTTATAAGCTATAATGGATAGATGGATGGATCTATTGAAGGTAATAGATTCTTCTACCTTATCACCACAAGGCAATCTCTCTCCCTATTTATTACTACCAGAAAAGGTAAAAAGAAATTTAAAATATCGTCAAGTATCTGAAATTTTGCAGAGCTTACAAAATCAGAAAAGGGACGCCCAGATCATAATCTGTTAGGCATTTATTTATTGATATAAATTTAAGACTGACCAAATTATTGGAAATGAATGGCTTGTTATTGTAATTCAATTTTATTACATTAATGTAATCGAACGGTCCATAGTTTGGTAAACCTGGGACTCGGTGAACCTGTAAAAAAGATGACAGACAGTTCAGACTTTCTCTCATTATTGACAATGGAGTCAACCTGTGATTACATATAAACACTAACTAGGTTTTCGATTCGTTTGAATTGTGTAAAATCAACTGTATATAATATAAAAACTTAGTATACGTATAATTGTAAAAATATGGAGTGGGTCTTAAAACTGACCTGTATATTACTACCACACTGGACTGGCTTTCCCATACAAATGACAGCTAATTTTGTGTGCCATTTTGAGATACCACCCGCGAGTGTCCCTAGAACTAATTTTGACATATATTGCAAATGGCTATCGTTGTAAATTGAACAACCAATGTGCATGCATTTTATTTCAATTTTTTGATGTTTTAGTGAGTTTTTAAGCTCTTGTCTATGTTAGAGTTTCCAAACATGAGAAAATGTTTATTTTGTATGTGTATTTTATAAACTTTAAAAATGAAGTTTTATAAACTTCATTTTTAATCAAAATCGTTGTGAAATGCTATGTAAAGCATAAGATTGTAGTCAGAAATTTGTATTGCAATACTATCTTAAAAATACATTATTGATTTTCGGCCGAATTGATATTTGTATGTTTTGTTTCGGACTTGTTAGTTCCATAGACACTTGCATCTACCTACAGCGCTAAAATGGCATTAATCAAATAGCGTAGAATACTATTGTACACAATAGAATGGCTGTCAACTTTATTTTGTACGAGGCTTGCCGTCGCCAAACCCGATTCGCTGTGTTGACAGACTGAATAAATTTACACATTTTTGACTTTTGAAATTTGGAAAAGATTTATACGTGGGAATTGACGTGTTAGTGACATTTTAGTGGCTACGCGGGCTCCGCCCACTCCCCCGTTCTATGTACCGTGAAATCCTCCAACTTTGGCCACATTTTTTAGAAAATTGGTTACCACACCAAAAAAATATCGGAAATAGTATTGATTTTATGACGTGCAAGTGAAGTTTATATGCGTTACTATAACTTAAACACAAAAATCTGTAAAAAAAAAATAGTTGATTTTGTAGTTTAAAAGTAATTTTAAAGACCGGCCAAAGTTAGGTCCACTTTCTGTAAACATTGTCCACTGTTTATTTCGACTGAACTTTAAGCCTTATCTGCATGCTTCTTAAGAGCTATAGTAGAAAACCGGCTAAAGATGGCATCTATATAAAATTAATTTCCAAAAGTGGCCATTTTAGCTTTTTATTACTGTGGCTAATGTTACCCGTTACTTTTTGCAAGTTTGCATACAACTGATTTTAGACGCAACAAGGGTTGACACAAATAAATTTAAAAAATTAAAACATAGTTTTTGCAAAAATATTTTATTAAAAATCAAGATAGTTCGTTGAACTGCGTGCTCTTAGCGACTACAAAATCAAAATTAGTGTGGGTATAATGTGAAAAGCGAACTTAAAACTTAACTACCTACTACTAAATTTTGGCATCAAGAATCAGGCTCAATAGCATTTGGTTCTGAAAACGAATATTGAATGTACTTACTGTGAGAACCATACATTAAATCTATACGAATTGCACAACCATAGCGACTATAAAAAATCAAGATTAAAGATAGTAGATAAATAATGAGTTAATGATAGAAGAAACTAATTTGTGACTTAATTACTTATATATCTTACATTTTGGCATCAAGGCTTTGGTCTCAGCAAAGCTGACCTGATAGCACGAATCGAAAATACCTACTGAGAAAATATTAATTCTAGACTGCCTACTTAGATCTTTATTACTGCAATAGATGGTTGAATAAAGCTTGAGAGAGAGAGAGAGAGAGCACCTGCGCGTCAGCTCCAGAAGTCGCTTGAGCGGTGTTCTTTACAGAAAGCTATATTCAACCGTCTGGCATAAACACTTTAATTAGCCATGTGAATTTACAAAGCTCACATTGAGTATTTTTTAATAATAACATTGACAAATTATTAATGATAAGTTTTTTTAGATATATTATATTTACCTGGCACTTAGGTAAATGTTTCATAACAATGAATTACGTACTATTTATATCTGAATTTAATTATTGACCTTTCAAAAACTCACTACCAGATAAAAGTTGGCTAACAATCGACATAATTAATATTTATATAAAATTAGTCATAAGTTTAATTTTACGAGATCATAAAACGTTGGAGGTGTTTATGGTAGTGTACCTAAAGTCTCTCAAAGTACTTTTAAACCACTGAAATCAACTTCAAATGCTAATGAACCCCTACGGTTATCATTTGGTTGAGGTAATACTTTTACGATATCAAATAAATACATTTCTGCCTCATCTTTTACTTGAGGCCAGAAAAAAAGAGTTGTTATTCTTCTTTCTTAAAAAAATTATGGACACAAATATTCCATCGATTTTTGTTACCTTTCCTACATAATATTTAGTACTCTTTTCAGTTATAAATTTGACCAAAACGTATTTGTCAACGTGCACTTCATGTTGAATATGATGGTCCAATAATTATTCATTTTCTACGGACATAGTTTTATTGTTTTCATTAAATTCTGTTGTACACATTTCGACGTCTTTTTCAACATCTTCAGGAACGTATCTTTCGCTACTATCTGATGATTCTCTGTATGAAATATTCTCGGAAACGTCGGTGTCACTGCCACTGCTGTTTCGAGTTAGTCTTTTAGATCTTTTTTTGTTTTTTACTATTATTACCTCTTTTGTTCTCTTTTTTTGCTTGTTTTTATTGGTTTCACTTTTTGTAATAAATCTTTGTTTTCTACTGTCGTTACTAGTTTCTCTGTTGTTTCGCAATCCTTATATTTGTCTGGTATGTTAATACATTTTCTTTCTTTCTT